ACCCCAACATCACTAAAAGGCGGTTGCTATAGGCGATGTGAAGGGCCGAACAAAAACAATTAGCCTTCATAATTGAAATGCATTGCAAAACAACTGGACTAATGATTATCAGCTATCAATATAGAAATATTGACAATTTAGTTAGCTAACTTGATTTATTCTTTCATTATCTAAAACCGAAATTTCCAGCCCAAATATCATTCTAACTATTAAAATTATCATTCATACATTTTGAAAGTTCATTTAAAGGCAAGAAAGTCGAATATCCCAAAGAAAACTAATTGAATTTAGCAGTCAATTAATTTAATCAACAATGAATCAAACGATGTTAGGAGGAATTTCTTGTCAACATTTTACTAGTAAATTTGATCAATTTCTTCCCTAAATTTGATAAATACAAGTAGATTCAAAATTCGTAATGAAGTAGATTCAACACATATGTAAAATGAGGAATTCAAATTTCAAATTGCAAAGATATAAACAATAACACAAGCTACACTTAGTAAGCAACAACCACCACACAACATCAACACAAATATCATCAAAATCCATCCTGGCCAGCAACTGAAGTTACTGGCATACAGTCACAACCACAAACAAATCCTCCACCCTAAACATGCTGCTATTTTAAAAAAAAATAAAAAAAATAAACGGAATGATAAATAAATTAGGGTTTCACAGAGACATTTACCCATCAGCTACAATTACCATCTAACGCTTAAGAAGCAAATAGGGGGGGACTCAAGATTCACATCATCTTCATCATCGCATGAGATTTTTGCCCCAACTCCATGAATTCTTCTGAGGGTCAGACAAGAAACCCTACGAACAAATGGAAGGTGTAATGGGAAAAATTTCATGGCCGACATCGAGGGACTCGAACACAGATCTAGGGTTTCACGATTGTCGACGGCTTTCAAATCAATGACCTGAACAACAAGACTTGGAAGATCTTCTGAAGAATCAGGAGATGGGTTTGCAATAATCTTCGAAATCGCATCTGGGGTTATAGTATTCACCTCCATTTTATTGAAAAAAGGGGGAAATCAAAAGAGAAATTAGGGTTTGATTGAGGAGAGAAATTAAAACCCACAATAAATTGAAGAACCCTAACAATTTACTAATTCGCATACAACAAATCAGACATCAGTTAAAACTAAACAAATTACCTGTTGTTCGAAATAGTGGTTATAATACCCCAAACATTTAGATTAGAGAGAGAGGTTGTGCGATTTTAGAACCGTAGGTAGCTGTAAATCGATGAAATCACCAAACCCTAATTTCTTCAACAATATCAACAACATTAGTGAGGAAATCTCTTCACACTTTTGAATATCAACACAGGAAATAAACAATTAATTCACAAGAATTAAAACCCCTAAAATTCATCAGAGTTGATTGAGAGATGAGAGAGAACGAGAGATGGAGGAAAGAGAAAGAAAGAAGAGCAGGGGTGAGTTTTTTTTTTTTTTTTTTTTTTTTTTTTTTTTTAACATTCAATTTGCACCAGTTCGAACCGGTGTGATTAACTTATTTTCATATCGGTGCGAAAACTCTTTCCCTCAATCCCGCCTATTTTTTTCGCACCGATTTTTAAAAACCGGTGCGTATTGTGTGGTGCTCATTTGACCTTTTCTACTAGTGAATCCTAGGAAGTTAACTAAAATACAATAGATAATATTTGCCAAAAGATATCCTCACAAAAATATAGTATATGATATCTCATTACCCCCCCCCCTCAAGTCGGAGCATGAGGATTGGAAACGCCTAACTTGGAAATAAGATAATCAAACTGAGATTTGCCGAGAGCCTTGGTGAAGATATCCGCGAGATGTGAGTTGGTTGGAACATGAGAGGGAGAGATCAAGCCTTTAGTAATTGCATCTCAAACAAGGTGACAATCGACTTCAATGTGCTTCGTTCGTTAATGAAAAATCGGGTTCTTAGCTATGTGCAGAGCTGACTCACTATCACAAAATAATTTAATTGCCTTCGGATGCTGAACACCTAGACTTAATAGTAGAGCTTTTAACCATTTAAGTTCACAAGTAATAGCCGCCATGGACCTGTATTCGGCTTCTGCTGATGATGTTAACACTATGTGCTACTTTTTAGTTTTCCATGAAATAGTTAACTTGCCAAGAAACATAGCCACCCAGACAAAGACCTCCATGTAAGAGGATAGGTGGACCAATCTGAGTCACACCAACCTTACAAATTTAAGTCACAATCAGAGCTCAAAAGAATACCCTATCCTGGAGTGCCCTTTAAATAGCGTACTACTCTCAATGCTGCTTCCCAATGTTCACTACGGGGTTCTTGCATAAACTGAGATAGTATGTGAACTGAATAGGCTAAGTCAGGTCATGTTACCGTAAGGTATATCAGACGACCAACCAGCCTTCTATACTGCTCTGGATTCGAAAGTGGCGCACCACTTGCTAGGCCGAGCTTGTGATTTTGTTCCATCGGAAACTCACTTGGCTTTGCACCCACTAAACCTGCTTCAGAGATGATATTCAAAGTATATTTTCTTTGACATAAAAATAAGCCTGTAGAGCTACGAGCAACCTCGATGCCCAAAAAATATTTCAAAGGACCGAGGTCCTTCATCTTGAAACAATCACTAAGATAGGCTTTAAAAACAGTAAGTGCAGCGGAATTATTCCCATAAATAATAAGATCATCGACATATACTAAGATATTTATTTGAATGTTAGTCTTAGTGTATGTAAATAATGAATAAGCAGAGTAGGATTGTAGGAAACCATACTGTTTCAAAGCCTTGAAAAGCTTTGTGAACCAACATCTGGAAGCTTGCTTCAAACCATATAGAGACTTGCGTAATCTGCCATGGAACGTTCTAAAATTTCAGGCGTTCCTACCATGGTTCATGCTTCAACCCATATATTGAAACTATATATATATATACAAAAAGCTCCGGTCAAGATATAAAATTGGAGCATTAACTCATGAAAATGCTCCGGTTTTGAACCAGAGCGTTTTTCAACCCGTGATCTGCTACGTCCACTATTAATGCGGTTCAAAACCGGAGCATATATGGCTATTTTGACCGGAGCATTTGATGTTTTTTCTACTAGTGTTTTTCTCTCTAAGGTTCTTCAAAAAAAAGTATTTCATAGGCCAGTAATAGTCAAATTTCTCCGGAAATTTGGCTATTTCCGACCCTTTTCCTTTAGTTTCTTTATATTTTTGTTATTGAATTCAATAAATCTACACTCTTTGAAGGTAATAAGTACCCCTATAGTGGGTTTGAGTGTAGTAAGTGCCCCTATGGTGGGCTTTGTTTTTGTTTTTTGAGTTTAGTATGGTACGAGTTGTTGGGTAAAGATTTGTGCGGGATCGAGAAAGAGGTTAATTCTTCGATTACAATCAGATGAATCAGACGAAAATTTTCTTCACGACTACAACAGATTGATAGACCCCCTCATCGAAGAAGGCTGTAAATCATAGCGATATGAAAGAGGGTATGAAAAATGTACGATTTGTAATAACGATCGTAGCTCTGCTGAAAGAATGTTTTTATTTGATTCAATTGTCATATATTTATTATATTCAAATCTCTTTGTAAATATCGTATGACTTTTTATTTATGAATCAGTCATTATTTAAAAAAAAAGGGTATGATATAGTTTCAATATATGCTTCAACCCACATATATATATATATATACACACACACACACAAAAGGCTCCGGTCATGATATAAAATCGGAGCATTAACTCATGAAAATGCTCCGGTTTTGTTAACAGAACCGGAGCATTAAGTTGGTTATATGCTCCGGGTTTGAAGCTGGACCGGAGCCTTTTCTTAGTTTATGCTCCGGTTTTGAACCGGAGCGTTTTTCAACCCGTGATTTGCTACGTCCACTATTAATACGGTTCAAAACCGGAGCATATATGGCTATTTTGACCGGAGCATTTGATGTTTTTTCTACTAGTGTTTTTCTCTCTAAGGTTCTTCAAAAAAAAGTATTTCATAGGCCAGTAATAGTCAAATTTCTCCGGAAATTTGGCTATTTCCGACCCTTTCCCTTTAGTTTCTTAATATTTTTGTTATTGAATTCAATAAATCTACACTCTTTGAAGGTAATAAGTACCCCTATAGTGGGTTTGAGTGTAGTAAGTGCCCCTACGGTGGGCTTTGTTTTTGTTTTTTGAGTTTAGTATGGTACGAGTTGTTTTCATGGGTAAAGATTTGTGCGGGATCGAGAAAGAGGTTAATCCCTCGATTACAATCAGATGAATCAGACGAAAATTTTCTTCACGACTACAACAGATTGATAGACCCCCTCATCGAAGAAGGCTGTAAATCATAGCGATATGAAAGAGAATATGAAAAATATACGATTTGTAATAACGATCGTAGCTCTGCTAAAAGAATGTTTTTATTTGATTCAATTGTCATATATTTATTATATTCAAATCTCTTTGTAAATATCGTATGACTTTTTATTTATGAATCAATCATTATTTTTAAAAAAAAGTATGAAATACGAAATATAAAACTATTCAATCTCATCAACATCTTCAAATAAATATTTATTTGAAAATACTACATAATAAACTTTATTTATCTGTTTTCAAAAAAAAAAAATAAAAAAAAAAATTATTTATCTTTATTTATATTCAAGATAAATTAAATTTTTTTTTTTTGAACTTGTATTAAATTTCTAAAAAAAAAAGCAGTTATTATTTTTATTTTTTATCTACACTAAAGTAGTGTCAATGCCTCAATAAGTATTAGCGCATAGCACCTATGTGCTTAGAAAGTGTATAGGATGGATGACACTGGTTTTCTAGTGGTAAAATTCAAAGTACAAAGCGTACGTACCACTTTGATTAAATGTACCATTCAGTGGTACATTTTTAGAATATTAAATGTACTACTAGCACAGTTAAGTGGAATATTCAAGTTTTCTAATGTCTAGTAAATTATGCTTCTGTCTTTCTATACACTTCGTTTGTCAATAGGTATTATGCGCTAATATGCACTCAGAGGTGTCTTATATGATGGCAACTAAATTGACCAAATAAGGAGGGACCCATCTTTTCCTCCCTACATATATTGGTGGGTCCCAATTCTCCACAAAACTCATTCTTATCTTATGGACCCATTTTTGTTGTGGGGCCAAACTCTTCTACCGTTGATTTTCCCACCCCTCTATTTATATGTAGTCCCCTTCTTTAGCGGTGTGGAGACCCATTAAAATTAAACCTATTAATTATTTAATCAAATAAAGTAATTAATAAAAAAAATAAAAAATTGGAGGGTCCCAATCTTTGAAGAAGCCATCCAAAGCGGATAAGTGGGGTTGCCTTTTCTAGGGTTTGTTTTCTCTCCCCTGTTCTCTCTTCCTTTCTGATTTATTACTCTCTAATTATCACTATTATTATTAATTAAGTATTATTGAAATCATAAACAGTCTTCTCTTAATCTGTTAACAGTACAATATAAATCCAATTCTAGTCAAAAAAAGAATTGACAAAAATTAAAGCTCTGTTCCCTCCTTCTTTTCCCCGCCCACCACCTGTTCGTTCTTATTCCCCAATGAAACTGTTTGTGCAATTCTTCTAGTGTTGTTGATTTCTTGAGTTTTTTTAATGGATTTTCTTCAAATTTATCTGGGTAATTCTTGAATTTTTCTGGGTCGTTTTAGATTTTTACCAGCATCAATTTTTTCAAAACAAGAAAAGCAACAATGGAAGACGAAGAGAACAACAGTAGCAGCAACAACGACACTAATAGTAGAAACTCCGGTGATTTCCCGGCGACGGACCCATTACCGCCGGTGGACCACTCAAAATCGACGGCGATAATTCCGGCGGCGTTGAAGGTCGAGCCCACTGACGCGGTTACACTCGCTTCACCTCCTCCTTTGGTGCGTAAACGGCCATCGAAGGACCGTCATACGAAGGTTGAAGGTCGAGGTCGGAGGATCCGAATGCCCGCAGCTTGCGCTGCTCGGATCTTCCAGCTGACCCGAGAACTCGGGCATAAATCTGATGGGGAAACAATCAAATGGCTTCTTGAACGAGCTGAACCGGCTATTATTGAAGCTACTGGTACGGGTACGATTCCTGCCATTGCTGTTTCTGTGAATGGGACTTTGAAGATCCCGACTACTTCGTCAGGAAAAGATGAGGATGATTATGGTGGGAAGAAGCGTAGGAGGACTAATAATAGTGATTTTGTTGATATGGCTGATGTTGGTGTTGGTAGTGGGGTTACGCTTTCGAGTGGGTTGGCGCCTATTATGCCTGCCACCGCGGCATTGGGCTTCACTGCGGCACAAGCCCCTGGTCCGCCACCCCAGGGACTTGTGCCGCTTTGGCCTGCTAATTTTTTCATGGTGCCCAATGCCGCCGGTGGAGGCCAGCAAGCTCAGTTCTGGGCTGCCCCGGTGTTTGGGTTGGCCACGCGGCCTATAAATAATTTTGTGTCTGAGGTCGTTCCGGGGATGGGTTTAAGTGGTGGGAGGAATGAGACGAGTGTAGGGCCGAGTTCGGGTACTATAAATGGGGATGCTCCTACCACAACTACTAGTAGTAACAATACTGCTACTACTACATCATTATTGGATTTTTCACTAGAGATATATGATAAGAATCATCAAAAGAGGGAGTTACAATTGATGGGTAGTAGACCTAGTAACATTAATGAGACTAATCATCATCATAATCATAATAATCATCAAGGAATGTCTCAAGAACAAGTTCAGCTTCAAGTACAAGCAGGAGGAAGTAGTAATAGTACTACACCACCTTCATCTTCATCACAAGCAGTTTGACATTTTGGTGAAATTTTAGGAATGGATGATGATCATGATGTAATGTCATGTCATGTAAGTTGTAAGTAAGATGAGTTTTGGTGGATTTTATATTTTTAAAATATTAGGGGGTCAATTCATGAGGCATACACAATTTGATCAAAGTACCAAACTCTAAGTGTTTGATATTGTTAACCCCATTACATTTTGTTGGGTGATTAAGGAGGTGGTTTGATTGGTGGTGGTGGGTTTCTCTTTTTAGCCACTTTTAGGCTTTTTAATCTAGTTATTATTATGCTTAGCATGTTATTTTTAGATTTTGGAGTGATTGTGCAAAAGTTCAGTTAGGTTTAGAGGCTTTTAGCCGTTTTATGATGCAATTTGTGAGGGGTAGTTCTTCTAACTTCTAAACTTTCTCCAAATTTAACACTTACGTTTCACTTTGTTATTGAAGATTCATCCTCACTTTGTTATCATTTAAATTACTTTCTGTTTCAATCTTTATCGTTTCGTGACTCCTCGTATTCAAATGAATACCAATTTCATTGTTCGTAGTAGTGAATGTATTGATTTTACAACATTCCTATTTTGGACAATGCTTGGTTGATGTCTCTATGTGCACAACCATATACACCTATTAGTGCTTGTAATGATCACATTGGTTATGCACATCTCGATTTAGTAATTTGTGTGGCGCATATGTTGTAGATAAATATAAAACACAAGACTAATAAAGCTAGACTTTATACACCAAGATAATCAAGTATATAATGTAATTTACTGAATGTAGATAAATTTTATCTAATAAAGCTATCATATGCACGGAAATTGTAAATAATGGTCAATTCACAAATGGTAGGTTTGAGAAGAGAAAAACAACCCTAAAGAATCTTTAACTTGTGATCTATTCACATATTCTTTTAAAAAAATAAAATTGTATAAAATGAGCTCATTTATTCAACAAACAAAATTGAAAAGAGATAGGACCCATACAAAGATAATGAAAATGTGTTTGATTTTTGGTGGGATCCATTTCAAGGGTGTTGTGGTCCTTTTGGGGAAAGCAAAAAAGTTCGCACGTGAGGCTTCTTGAGTGATGCACGTGTGAGATGGTCCCCTCATACTCCACTTTGGGGATTGTGCTAGGTGTAGTGGGCCCCACTTTATGGTGGGTCAACAAGTTAAGGTGGTGGCCCGTGGACCTAGCAGAGTGGTTAAATTTGTGGGGTTACCTTTTTTGTGGGGATGTCATGTGCTTTGTGGTCCGATTTATTATTAATTTTTTTTTTTCTAATGTTTTTTGCAATTTCTATTTCATATTATATTATGTGCAACTAATGAGGTTATAGGAATTGATACATGTGATGAGAATAGAGATGGAGAAAAATAACAATTTAAAAAGAATACGATATATTTGTTGCATGTTATGTGTAACAACTTTGTTTTGATAAATGTTGCACTAATACTTCCTTCGTTTTTTGAATTGCACTATTTACCGATGTAATATTTTGACCATTAATATCTTTAATTACATTTAATTAAACATTATAAAAATTTGATATTGAAAAATAGATGAGATGAATCATACGAAATCCAACATGACTATATTTTTTCTTATGGATATATCACAAAAGATAGTCAAAAGAGATTGTGTGAATCTCAAATGGAGCAATTAAAAACAAAGAAGTCTCTTATAAAATAAAGTTGTTTTTTTATTTTAAGTGTGGGGCTAATTTTAGGCGGGTCCATTGATGTCCCACACCCTACTTTTTTGGTAAGGGACTACCTCCTAATATCGACACGTGGTAATTTAGTAGCCGTTTGTGTGGTTTTCCTCCTACCATGGCGTGACACATGGACTTTTGGTAATATTATTCTTTTATTAAATGGATTTAAGTGTGTGTTGATCCTTTTGTGTGGGCCCATGAATTCTCACCGAAGGAAAAGATGATGAGCGTGAGTGAAAATCTGGCCTTGTGGTCTCTCCTCTCTTCTTGTTTTTGGCGGGGCGCAATTTGTGCTCAACTTTAAATACTTTTGTGCTTACCTTATGCTTACATTATTACCGGTACAATGTTTGAACTTTGATATTATATCACCACATACAAGTAGTTTATATCATTATTATATTTAATTACTTGTATAGTTGTATTATATAATGGGTAATAATATATTTATTAGAAATGCATATAGACGTTTAATATCTAGTTTAATTTGGTATTAATTTTGGTAATGATAATCACACATAGATTGTTGTAATAAAATTTAAAATTCGTTTTTTTTTTCCTTTTACATTTTAGCTCCTTATAAACAACGCTAAGGAATATGAATATCATTTTCTATTTATAATATTTCATATTCTAAAAAATTTTGTACTCTCTAGTATTTTGATATTGTATTTATTTGTACATTGAAATGAAACTGAATAGACATGTATAACAATATTGTTTCTTATGTAAAATTCAAAATAGAATATTAAAAGAAAGTGAATAAATAGAGTTTTTTTTAAAAAAAAAAAAAAAAAACAGAAGTGATTAATCCTAGAATAAAGGATTTTGTCGACACATATGAGTAATAAAGAAGCCTTGTGTTGGGTTTGTCCCTCATTTGCATCAAAATAAATAAATAAATAAAGGTGGAATTTGTTATATACACCCGAGTGTACCATATATCCAATTAATCCAAGGTTGATTTTTGCTCTCTATTTGAAGATTAATGCTCCGTTTGGTAGGGCGTAAAACATTTTCACTAAAAAGTGTTTTCTCATTTTACATTGTTTGGTTTGGTGTAAAATATTAAAATGTAAAACTTGGGGTGGAAAATCATTTTCCACCTTATTGAAAACATTTTCCCCCCAATTTAGAAGGAAAACATTTTCCATCACAAGTGGAGGGAAAACATTTTCCCTCATAATTGAATTTTCAGTTCAACCAAACAATAGAAAATGCTTAAAATGGAAAATCATTTTCGATTTAACCAAACAACGGAAAACTTTTTTGAAAATGAGTTTTCCATTGTAAAATGATTTTCATGGAAAACCATTTTACATTGAAAATGTTTTACACCCTACCAAACGGACCCTAAATGAAAAACAATCATCAAAATGAGAATAAAATACTTATAGATGTATGGTACTACCGGGTGTATATAACAATCTCTCAAATAAAGCAGCCTTGTGAAAATTTTCTTTTTGTTAATCATACGTGGGCACGGAATTTCACACGTAGTATTGTTCACTTGTTCTAGAAGACACACAAGTAGGAGCAATGTGGAAATAAGTCAATAACAATGGATTTGGGCCTTAATGCCTCAGTCGATCTTTATCAAATTTGTGCTTTTTCACTGGTTAGGCCCACCAATAAGCACCAGCCTCCAAATTATTATCAGGTACAAAGATGGAGTTTCCAAGCAAGATTATTTATGAAACTTTTGTGCAAGTAACAAGTCTAAATGTCTAATAAGTAATAACCTTCTTACCTTCTAATATGTCTCATTCTCTTATATACTTCATGCACAAATGTGATCTTTTTAATTTCAAACCTAGCCTTATACTAGAAGTTATTATTGATATTGTGAACTAATTAGAATTTACTTCTTTTTTAAAACTTCATCTTGGAATATTTGACTCCCTCTGCTTGTGTTTTGTTGGTAGTTAAGGAAATGAGGTATGTAGCCCATAGTGAGCAATGATTGAGTAGTCCAATTGACTAATTGTAAAGATTTTCGATATCAAAGTTTAAAATAATTACATATCTTATGTATCACTGCACGAACGAGTATATTTTAAAATAATAAATATTTTAAAAAAATACAAAAAGTAAAAAAAAAAAAAAAACAGTTATTTTCAAAACACAATCAATCTTTATGACAGATTAAAGCTTAAGTATTCACTTATTATTTCTTTCTAGTAGTTTGAAAAGATGTTCTAAGACTTCTTACCACAAATACACACATGAAATTTCATGTATTTTGCATTGTTGGTAGGTAACAAAACTTGTACTCCGTAGTTGGATATAAATAAAGCACACAACAAATGGTTTTAGTTTTTGCAATTTGCTTCAAAGGAGTAACTCTAAACTACACTTTATCTTATACAAGTAGATCCTTAGTAAGAATTTTTGGCCATAAAATTAAACACAATGTCGTATGATATTTATAGCATATAGTAGTACTCCAAATAAATAGCACTCCCATCTTTATGATGAAATTTCCATCGTCAACTACAACAGTTTCACCTTTTAAGCTCCTAATTCCCTAGGTTAGTCCATACACCTATCAAATTATGTTGAAACTATCACATGAAAACACTGTCTTCATTTTCTTTGTTTTTTCAATTTTGGTGGCTCAAACGAAAGAGAAGCAACTTGATATTCATTACTATGAACAAACATGCCCCCATGCTGAGAGAATAATCAGAGACGTAGTTCATAAGGCGACCTTAAGCGATTCCAAAGTTCCTCCTCGCATCCTTCGTATGTTCTTCCATGATTGTTTCGTTAGGGTATGTATTCTAGTCTTCTAGCTTCCTCCAATCCTATTGTCCTCCTTATATATACTTGCAACTTTTTAACTTTTGTACACTATTTACATACTCTACACATGATTTTATTGCTTATATTTACAAAAAAATAGTCATATAGATGCATTTCAGTAATGTATAATTTCATAACATTATAGATCAGGAAACCCTTGAACGAAAGATGATTGTGCGAATAATTCTTTTAACATATAAAATGCATCTATATATAAGACGTATGCTCCATGGTAATTAATGCTTAAGTTAATCTTCACTCATTACTATATATACTAATTGTGTGAACCTATTTAATATTTTTTCCTATATGCATGGAACAATAATTGTCTAGGGATGTGATGCTTCAATTCTACTAGACTCAACGGATGATAACCTAGCAGAGAAAGATGGCCCTCCAAACATTTCACTCCGCGCATATTATGTGATTGATAAAGCAAAAGCCAAGCTCGAAAAGGCTTGCCCTCAAATTGTCTCTTGTGCTGATATTACTGCTATTGCAGCTAGAGATGTAGTCAACTTGGTATGTTTTACGTTGCGTACAAAAACATTGTGTCTCTTTATATTAGAGTTCTATGAAAGTAAAATATTGTGCAAATATTTTCAATTTAATTTGATCTTTTTGGTTGTTAGGCTGGAGGACCATATTGGAATGTGTTGAAAGGGAGAAAGGATGGAAAAATATCAAGGGCAAATGAGACTCTAGACTTACCAACACCATCTTTTGATGCAACCAAACTCATAAAATTATTTTCAAAAAAAGGCCTTGGCATTAAAGATTTGGTAACCCTTTCGGGTGCACATACCCTAGGGTTCTCTCATTGTTCCTCCTTTAAAGCTCGAATACATCGTTTTGATGACAACTTCGACATGGATCCTAGCATGGACATCATGTTCGCCAACACCCTAAAACAAAAGTGTGCTAATAAGCATAATAGGGACAAT